GACGACGAAGTCCCTCGAATTGGACTCTTCAAAAGGGATTACTCAAGTTCGTGTTTCTTTTCAAGATTTGATTGTTGAAATAAATAAAATCGGATTTTAAAAACTATATGGAAGTCAAAAGCAATAATTGCCGAAAAAATGATAGAAGCGTTGCCTTAAAAAGTAAGTACTCGAATGCATGATTCGAATTTCCCATATCGTCTGATTAAAAACCACGTAAAAATTAATAACTGCCGAAAATATAATCGAACCATCTATGGATTTATGATACTATAGGCGTAAATTGACTGTGATTATTTAAATGCCCAATTCAAATTTTACGCGTAAATTTCTGAAGAAATTAAAACTAAATTTTTTTTCTTCCTCAAAATAAAAAATTTTCTGCAAGAACTCTGTAACGTTCTGCGATGTCTAATGCAGCATTTTTTGAATCTTGTGCTGATTCTATAAGCCCTTCATTCAGTTCTGTTCTCAAAGTTTCACTATACACTCATTAATAACTTGTGTCTTGTTAAATTGCCTTTCAGTTTTTATTTTTAAATGTTATTAATATTACTCAATGTTTTGCGTCCAGCTACAGTTTTGAGGGTAAGAGGCAAGAGCTTGCCGAAAAATTTGGAAAGGTCCTGGTTACAGCCACTGATTGGGAGAGACGAAAACCAAATATAAACGACATCACCAATTCTTTGAACTTGAGGACACAAGAATGTGTCGATGTTTTAAAAATTCTAATAAAATATTCATAGCTACTTTTTGTTTTATTCCTCTGCATTCACACCTTCTTTATTACAAAGCAAGTACATATGAGAAGGGCAAATTTTATTAAAACCCATAATATTTTATTATTTTTTAAGTTTTTAGTGCTGTTGTGCAATATTTTAAATTAATTTAATTTTCAGTGACTGCATCCTGTCTAAAGATCAAATATGTATTGCAAATGCAGAAAAGTAAGAAAACTAATTTACATACGTGTAAAATGCGGTTATTTTAAAACAAGCAATTAAGTCTTTGGTTTCGATTTATAAATCAGTTGAGCTGAAAAAAGTTATCATGCCTTTCATTAGTATTCACTTCTTACTTTCCATCTATGATTTTCAAAAAGGGCAGGTATGACCATCTGCTATACCCATTTTATGCTTGATCACTTGGCAAATAAATTTCAATTCATAAAGCTTGTTAAATTTAGTTGCAGATTTGTTTAATGTAGGTTCCAACTTTTAAAAGTAAGCCTTTTGTATTAATTTGAATTGTAAAAGCATATGTTTCTGTCACAATTAGTTAATACTTGAATTGGTTAGTTAATACTACGGCGTTATTGAGATATCGATCTATATCAATTTTACAATGTCGTACAATATAGAAAAAATCTGACGTTTTTACATAGATCGATATTTCGGAACAACATTGATCGACGTCGTAAGCGAATTTTTTTCCAGATCGATCGATATTGAGCGCTACTTGGGGGCGCCGGGCCAACACCTCCTAGAAGAAGGAAGGCCTCAGCACGGATCAATTTAGTAGTCCGATGTGACGAAGCTAACTGCGCAGTAGATGAAAAATAAGAAAGATGTCATTACGTTCGGGGTACTAAGCTGCGCAGTGGTTGAAAATACAAAATATGTCATTACGTTTGGACAACTAAAGGATATTTATGGTAAAAAGTGCTGATGCCTGCTCTTTTCTAGCAGGTGTTGGCCGGGCCTCCTGAAAATTTAGCTGAATTCCACCTTTATGTCAGCAAGGAATGAATGAATTTTTCGCAGCTATATGACCAAGTTAATAATCAGAAAACTGCATTCGGCATGACGGACACAGAACTCAGAAAATCAATAGAATGGACAGAACGATATTTCGCCTGACCATTGGAGGAAGGGGGATATTTATGGCTATTTTAGGTTCTAGTCAATTTTTTTGCAGCAGAGGGGCCCTATTTGGCTAAGTCGAGCCCTGGATATTCTTTTATTTTACAGATTAAATTTTCAATGAAAAACTGAAAATAGCTTTTAAGATTTTCAATCCAAATTCCTAGTAAAAAATAAATCCGCAGAACTGTTTTTAAATGTTGTAAATAAACTTTTTTTTTGCAAATTAAGCAACAATTGCAACCCTATATTTCGCTAGACTTAGGAAATTATAGGATTTAGGAGACTTAGAGCTTCCATATTTCTGGGCCCTGTTTAAAATATGATTTTTCTACTACGTCATTGATCTATTAATATTCATATTATTTTATCTATTGACAGACAAAACAAAGAACTTCAAATCAAGATGAGTAATACTTAAAAGTATCAAGGCTTTTAATTGAGACTGATTGAACACATGCATTTAAGGAAAAGCAACAATGCAATTTGATACTCAGATTTGTTTGAATTTTCTCCTTCAGTTACTAATAACAAAGCAATTTTTTTTTTTTTTTATATAAAATCATTTTAAGTTTGGTTTAATTTTACCTACATAAATCGGCACTGGAGAATTATGCGTCAATTCTGCGACTTCTTGCATATTCCACGCTTTATAGCGCGTAAGTGAAATCATTGAAAGCTGTAAATAATATTTAGCTTCTAAACTAGAATGTTATTAAAATAATAGCTAAATATTACAGAATAAAAGAAAAAATAAAGTTTCTTTAACATTGCATTAAGCTATCTTGATCAACTGAGGAAGCTAAGGGAATAAAATGATAAAATACATTAACTAAATTGTTCAAAAAAGAGGTTTTTGGTAAAAAAAAAAAGAAAACAAACATAAATTTTTATTCAGATACTAAGATTTTTTTCTGAGCATTGTGTAACTATAAATTCCAGTAAGTTGTTAAGTACCTCTGTGGAAACAAAGCTAAGGAATAGTCTGTAATTTAATAAAAACATCATCTTTAGAAACAGTGTATCATTATATTGCCTTAAGTCCTTCAATAAGTAAACAATGTAGCAATAAAAAGGGGAGGAAGAAAGAGACACTAATGAACAACTGAGTGAGTTTATTTTTTAAAGTATATTTTATGTGATTCAACTATTATGGAAAACATTTTGTTCTGATGACTGTACACAGTAAAAATAGAAAAAAAAATGATAAAATGAAACAAAAAAGCATAAAAGATACGACCAACAAACTACATCTTTACACAAATTCAAATGAAAAATATTCAGATGAGCAACATTTTGTACTACTATAAATATCAAATTGATGATACCTGCCAAACCTAACACAAAGAATATGAAATGGCTTCGTCTTGTGCGTTTATTACAGATTGAATGCAGGAAGTAAGGAAAAAATATTGTTCATATAACAATATACCACTCAGCAATGAAATCAAAACATTGAGTAGGAAATTGAGTTCATTAACAACAATGCATGTTTTTAGAACATATTAATTTATTTTAATACATGTTCAAAACCTCCACAATAATTGTGATTCTCAGAACAGTTACAATACACAAAGGAATATCTATCATACCTGCAAGCCCCTGAAGTAAAATAAAATCAAACCATAAATATGCTAGTTTATGATGAAATGATACATTTGTGAAGAACATATAAGAGAAATATTTGTTTGATTTAAACATAAAATATTTCATTATTAATTTCGTTTAGGAACTTTATCATTTAAAATCCAAGAGAAGATTTGTGTTCTTTCTTAGAGAATTGTTATTTAAGTGTGTTTTAGGAATGATTAAAATGATGATAAATGGAGACAGCAGATATGATAATTTGACGAGCCAACTATTAACATTAAACATCTCTATAAACTTTTTTTAAAAAATACAAAGTAATATTCAATCGTAAGTCATCAGAATTCTGATAAGTAGATCAAACGCATTGAACAGCCCATAGCATGTTATATAATTACAAAAGAATAAATGTTTGCACTTTGCAAAATATGTTGTAAAAACTTTTATTAATATCACCCTCTCGGATTATCATACTTTTTCACTTTTTTTGAAAAACTCAAATATTTACACCATGCATGTTTTTGGCGACTATCCCCCTAATAAGTTGAAATATCTGTGCGCCTTTCCAATATTTCAGACAAATAAAGAAATATTTAAATAATTATGAAATATTTGCGAGTTAATTAGTAAAATTTTAATTTTCGAGCAACTAGTTCAGAAATTTTAAGAAAGAAGAATTATTGTAACTTTACATTCTTCCCCATTTTATGACACTCATGACTAAGACTTCGTAATTTTTTCAGAATTTTAGAAAAAAAACAACTTTTTCTTAGAAACAAATGACGATTAGCATTTTATATGATTTATTACAAATTACGTTGTAAGAATTGTCCTCATACCATGGCATCAAAACAATCATAACAGACGTTTTTAAGGGTAGCAATTAACATTTAAAACAACTGTCTATTCTTTTTCATTGGGGAAGGGAGAATCTGAAATTGATTCTTAAATAATTAATAAGAATCTGCAACTAGTTCAAGAGAACAAACTGTTGAGACTAAAGGGATAACAGTACATCAAAGATTGAAATCATCTGTGTAAATAATGCATTTTTGTTCTTTAATTTTTAAAAGGACAGTAAGTTTTGACAATCAGCAAAAAACTTATGTTAATTTTTTCTTTGAAAGAGTAAATAATTTTTCTTTTAAGGTAGCCTATGAAAAAATTAACAAAAATGTAAAACTGTTTAACATTATTTTTATCTACTAAATTGTTTAAATTAATTTATACATTTCAATTTTTGCCACTTTAGATTAACCTTCATTATAAGAATGTCATGCATTGAAATGTAGCAGGCTTTTTTTTATATACAGTAGGGAACCGATTATCCGGAACGATCGCTATTCCGGATAACTGATTTTTCCAGTTTTCTGAATCGTTACAAAAAGCTGTTTTTTTTATTGTTAAACCCAACTTAAAAAAAAAATATTTGGAAATAATCTTAAAAAGAACAAAAAGCGATGAAGTAATACACTAATGATTATTTCCAAAATGATGGTAAGGTAAACATCTTTCAAAAAAGAAAGAAAAATCCTAAAATCTTATGAGGAAAAAAAAATGGCGGGAAAATTTATCAAATTTCGTTCCGGTTTTCTGATTTCCGGATAACGGGTTCTGTACTGTATATATAACCGAATAGGTACAATTTAACAAGAAAACAATGAATTTCAATGATATGTCACTAAATATCAGGATTCTAAATAAATAGTTGATTGTAATGCAGTAAAAATTTTTAACGAAGAAACATACATTGTTAGCAGAAATAGCAAGCCATATTTAGAATACATAAATACCATCCGTAACTGAAAAGTTTTGTTGTAATCGGTTATTTTGAAAAAATATAAAAATATTTCTATTGCTTCATTGATAAGTTGTATTTTTTCTGGTTTCCCATAAACAATTAAAACAAATGCATTATGCATATTTTCTAACACCGAAGCAAGATACCAATGTAATCATTAGATTATGAAAATAGAAATTCATATTTAAAACACATATATGTTTCATTCATGAGCATGATTTTATATTTATTTAAGAATTCCGAAGCAAATTATTAAAATATTTCATCGACAAGTTAAGAACCAAACAGAATTTTTATTAATAAAAAATACTTGATAACAGTTTAATCCTCAAATTAAAATGAATGTTTTTGCTTTTAGTTATGATTAAATTCATGATCATAACTGGAATATAATATTAAAATAAAAATTTTCATTCTAATACTACTTATAATAATGAATTCATTTGCGCCAAACATTACTTTTGCTAAGCAATGATGATATTAGCATTTTTGAATCACTAAATTTTCAAAGAAATATTTTTTTTTCATAATGACATCACTACAAATCTACATTATTAATAAGAATGAATGTGCAAATGACTACTACAACTGGATATATCTTTAAATTTATACACAGAGAGTTGTATTATAAATAGTTAGCTAAAAGCATACAACTAGAGTACAATATCAAAACTAACAAAAATAAATTTCTCACTATCAGTGAGTTAATATTAGCCAAGCATTTTATACACTATACAAAAACATGTAGAAGACTTTCAAAATTACTACATTTAAGATATTTCAGGAAAATTTTAAGTATTATATTGCACAGGGATGCTTTACTTTAAACAATACTGATCCTTAATCTATAATTATCAAAATATTAAACTAAATGTTTATCTGGTTAATTTACTGAAGAATAATAACCCGATACTTGACCTCATTACACTGTACTTTTATTGCATTTTTGTTAAAAAGTCAAAGTATAGCAATTTATTAAGCCAGACTTACAAAATGTTAAATACTGATATAATAAATAAATTTTTTATTTTTGTATCACACTTTTAAACTTAACAAAGGGTGGTCCATAATCACTACTCTTAATACATATTTTTAGAAACCTTGTAAAAAATAAAATAAAAATACTACTCATTAAAGGCTGCAAATTTAGTTAAATGAGGAAATAAGGATATTAAATTTTGAGGAATTTTTGTTGATAGACCTTCAGAATAACTCATATTTTGTGAAGGAAAAAAATTTTTTTTTTCATAGCAAATAACATATTTAAACTGCTTAAAATAGGTAAGACTTCTTTTAATTTCTAGTAAGGAATTTTAAGACTGTGATTACAGAACCCAATGAAAGTTCTAGTTTTTAACGTGCCTTTAATTGAGGATGGGAATCTGTATAAAATAAGCATCCCTGCTTTTAAAACAAGAATTGAAAGTTACAGTTCAAAGCAGAATTAGATGATCAAATGCTCTGCTTTATTATCACAATATATAAACAGGGATTTCTAAGAAATTTAAAAATAAAATACAAAAACAACTTCATTATTCACAATAGAATTTAAAAAGGAAAAACATAATGTTAAAAATATTAAGTGTCACATTTTTAAAACCCTTTTAGTATAGACAGACAAATTTAGACAAATTTAACAAATCATTGCATTACACAATTTTGATATATGCTAATTTTTTTTCTTCTTCCAGTAAAGTTATGATTTCATTCTCAATAATAATTTTTCAACATTTAGTTTTGGTTAAGATACAAACTCTTTTGATATTAAGATAGAGAAATACTAACATCTGAATACAAGACTAAATATTTAATTCCTAATAAACTCTTCCGCTATCAAATACTAAATTTTAGCACTGTATTAATATCTTTAGTTCAAGAGATTATAACTAATATTGCACATTAGCAAGTGCACTGATCTTTCTAAAATTCCACATGGAGAGTTTACAGTACAAAATTCATTAAGTTCAAAGCATAGCACCATAAAGTTTTTACAACTTGATACATTTAACATATAGTCCGTCTATAATTAAACTAAAATTTAAACATGTGTATTTCAATTGTAAAATGAATTCATAAATTTTATCAATCAGTAGCTTATTTACATGCATACAGAATACTTAAAAAGAATTTAGCTAATAAAAACATGTAGTTCATGGCAAAATAAATAAATAAATTGTGTTATACATTTCATATATTTAGAAAATGCTTTTTTTTTTCTCTTTATAGAATTTTAATAACTTTTTAAAGAGTTTTCTTTTTGTAAGTGCTTTATTTTCAGATGATAGAAAATTTAAACATTCGTTAAATTTAAATATCATTGATTATTAAAATATCTGAGTTTTGAATCATCACTGCTAACAATGTCTATATTCCTACAGTTTTATTATTAAAACACTTTTTAAGTAACCTATGTATTTATGCATGTATTTAGGTAAAATATGGGGAACTGAACTACCAACTGAAATGTGATTAGAGTAAAAAATTAAAAAAAACATCCATGTTTAGATCGTTTTTCTTTTTATTCAAAGATAAAAATTCTCACTTAAGTATCATTCGTTGAGCTCTTCACCGGGATCATTAAACAGTGAGGAAAACAAGTAAAAAATTTTTATTTTATTTTCACAAGTTATTATGAAAAGTTTATACACCATCATAAAAATAGATCAGATAGAGAATTGCTGCAATAGATAATTTGAAACACTTGTTTAATTAAATATTCAAATAGTAATTAGGTATCAATTTTTCTGAATGTTACACACAGATGACGAATTTTTAGATAATGAATTTACAGTAAATGAATTCTTAGAAGATTTTTCAAACTGTTAATAGTTTTATTAATTATAAATTTTAAACTAAATTATCTTTTTTTTAGAGGAAGAAAAATGCTCTTTGTTATCTGAGAAAAAAAAAATAGCTAATTGAGGACAAAATATTCAAAAATGCTAAAGGAATGTTCTCTTTTACACAACTATGCACAACATTTTTTACACAAAGTTTAAGTTGAATTAACATATAAAATGAAGAACTCATTTATTCACAAAAAAATATTTGTACAGTAAGAATTGTACATAAAATGCTCAGGAAACATAATTTGGTTTTAAATAATTTATATTTAAAACAGAAATATACATAAAAAGGATTATTTTGATAATTGGAGTTCTCATGAATCTGAGGTGCTTAAAAATATATATATATATTTTAAATTTTGCCTATTGTAGTTTTCAGAAAAGGTAACACAATATAAGAAAAAATTTCAGTTTCAATATACAGACATATACCTGAACATGAAGATGTAACAGATTTATTTACATAGTATTTTGTATTAAAGAATGATTTCATATGGATCAATGATAGAATCATTTGAAAATTACAACAGAGAAATTATCTTTTACACAAAAAAGCAAATTTATCTTTCAACAGCTCAATGCATTTTGTTATGTGGAACAACAGCCGCAGCTTTTCGAAAAACTGCAATAAAACACTTCTTGAAAAAGAATGCCAAACTAAAAACAAAATTTTTTCCCTAAAAAAATCCAGATTCATAATTACGTAATTTTTACGTAGCTAGAAGAAAATTAGCTTAACCCAAGCTTTCAATAATCCAAGTTAGAGTCAGATTACCAGAACTCGGCATACGGAGATAACCAAAACAGATACAAAATAACAATGAATGCACCAAAAGTGAATTAAAAGTAGTAAAAAACAGTAATAATTTCAGTAACAAAAGAAGCATATAGCAGCTATATGAACAACTCATGAAAACATAACTTTTACTCAAATATCATTAAATGAAAAAACATTTTGTGGAACATTAGAGCTAACTGGTAATGTAAAACCGTTACGAGGTTTCACTTGCACATTTTCCTGAAACTTTATCTGTTTCGGGCTTGCTTGTTCCTGATCTGTACCAGGTGGAGAACACAGAACATTCATGTTTAAAGGAACAGATACAGAAAACTTATTACTATCCAATTGGGAATGGTTAGGTTTGGAGGATTCACCAGGAAGTTCAACAGAAGACATTATTCTGTCATCGTAAAGTGAGAATCGTCCTTTAATTTCAAAGGGAGTTTTTACTCGTTTGATCCCATTACGCTTACCACCACTACCCTTGCGTCTAATTTGCACAGTTTGATTTTCATTCGGTAGTGCAGAACTCTCCGAAATATTTACCAGTTCTTTTGTAGTCTCAGAGTCAGACAAATCAAAAAAGTCTTCATCAAACTCATTGCTCAAGCAATGAACAGGTAATGTAGTGGGACGTTTCGACTTATCCTCAACGGAAACAATTTGATCGGGAAGTATATTGATTAGTGTAGGGCAGTCACTTTTAGTGGGAATTTTGAGTTCCTCTAACGAACGACAATTCGGAGATTCGGCGCATTCTTCACTTGCAATGCCTAACGAATGCGAATGGACATTGGTACAATTTACATTGAAATTGGAATGATCATTTTTTGGTTCTACAGGCCAGAATGGCTCTAGAGGGCCCTGCTTTTCTTCGCACTGAGGATTAATTTGACCCTGTTTCTCCTCGTAATCACTCGGTGATATCGGAGAAGAAATCGCAGAACTCTGCAGAGGTTGCTGCTCCTCAGGAATATAGCCATTGCTACAAGAAGTTTTACGATCTAACAGATTTTTCCAACCAGTTTTAAAACCTTTCTTGTTATCAAATATATTCAAAGGGCTCCATCTCCTCTCTTCTCTAGATCTAGAATTATGCCCATAATTACTACTCGTTAAGTTGGTTACTTTAGGAATGGTGGCTGAAGAATTGACTGGATTTTGCACATAAGGTATAGGAATTCTAGTGGAATGATTGGTGAGACCGTTAGGCATTAGAGTACTCGTCATGCCAGGAGGTAAACTGAAAATGTTTGCATCACCATCAGAGAAAGAGAAAATTTTGTTATTGCCAGGGTATTTAAGTGTACAATCGAGCAAGCGGTTTCCGATGACATCCGGAGCTTCTTGATTGAGATTGCGCTCCAAACACGGATTTCGTCCCTGATGAGGCTGCAGAGGGTAAGATACTTTTTGACCGGGAGATGAGTTGTTGGCTATTATGTTTTTATCATTGTTTTGCGCATCTGACGGAGACAGAAGTGTTTCGGTAGTGCATTCAGAAATACTATTTGATCTTTCACGTGGTATGATGAACTGATCATCTAAACTGCCAGAGCCGAAAACACTGTCGTTTCCTGATTTGTTATTATTCGATTTTTCCAAATTGGAAACATTATTCAGAGAAGGACTGATACCTGACCCACTTAATCCAGCTGAAAAGTAAAAATATAAACAATACTTTAGTCTATAAAAAAATCTACATTAGAAAGAGAGAAAAACACAAATACTGCAAATAAATAAAATAAAAAAAATTGGTAAAACATTACTACAACGTTAATGGCTATCTTTAAGACTTTATCTACTGCTATCTTCTTAAAGAGGTGATGAAACACAAAAAATAGTTTATAAATAATCACTGTGATTTATAGAAGGGTAAATGAAATGCATTTTTCACGCATAAAAAAAGGGAAAACCCAAAATAGTAGTTGCATACTTATAAGGACAGTTAGCAAGTTTTTTTAAGAACCATTAATATTATTAAAATGTAATGTTAAAAATATAATAACAGCATCAATAGTCATTAATCAAAAATATTAACAATACCTGCTTTGTGAAACCTTATGCACATCTGCATATGGTTTGAATTTTATTCATAGGAATGAATTATTTTTCAGCAGTAAACATTTTACTTAAAACACAATTGCAAAAAAAAAAAAAAAAGAAGTCATGTATAATTTTCATGCTTATGCTCGTTCATAACACTTTTAGTTTCTTACTTACAATTTCTTTTTTTTTTAAAATAAAGTTAAAAAAATAAATGACATTTTTTATGTTTAAAAAAATTATAAATTTAAAGGTCTTTAAATTCATAAAACGTTACATATGTAGATGATGAATGTTTCAAACTCCAAGCATATAGGAAATACTCATAATTTTTAGATTTTATTATTTTTGACAGTGGATTTTTTTTAATTTTCAATTTCCACACACTTTCAAATTTGTTAGTGGTGTTAATTTTATATTTCAGAATACTTTTTATTCAAGTGCAAAAAAAAAGTAGTACTACTCTTCGCTTGAAATATTTTGCAAACAGTTATATTAATATTATTTTATTTCAAATAATCAATCTATTCATATTTTTAATTAAGTAAACTTTATCTGTACCTTTATGCCATTCCCAAAGCACAAGAAGTTCTGAGATTCGTTCTTGAACACATAAAGCAGTCAATCTTGCTTCAGCATCCTGATCCCAGCAGTCCTCAATTGTTTCTTTTAATGATCGTATTGCCTATAAAATTAAGAATAATCAAACTTTACAATATTAGCATTATTCATAAAAAAAAAAAAAAAATATTGTTTTGAGTTTATTTAGGACACTACTTAAGACAAAATCAGAGATGCGTAGTATAAAATCACAATGCATTTAAAGTGACATTCAACAATCAAACGTAAATTTAACATTACATACATCAAGAATTTAAAGTTAGGATATAATGCTAGAAAATTACAAGGAAAAAAAATTGCTAATTTCGAAGTAGAACGTTAAAAATTTATAGACGGTGTAAAATTGTAAATAATTTACCATGCAAGGGAAAAAGAATGTTGATTGGATATAAGGTTGCTTTATTTTAAGCATAATTCTTTAAATTTTCTAAAACAAATATGATAAACTTGGCTTCAAAGTTAAGTAGAATTTTTATTTCAGAAATATTACAAGCGTAAATTTTAAAACTTTGCAAGGGTAACCAACTTGTTCATCAAAATATTATCACTATAAATTAATTTTGAATGTTATGTGTTAGTACAAAGAAAAATTCAAATGCTAAAAAAGTCTTTATTTTAACATTTATATTTAAAGATAATAATAAATTTTTTTTACTTTTATCACTATAAATTGATTAAAATAAGAGTAACTTGATATTTGAAAATGTGCTGATTATTGCTATTACCATTTAAATAGTATTCAAATTTGTAAAGAAAGATTTAATTGCTTTAATAGGTCCAATAAAAAAAAGTTTTTCTTACAGGATTGGTTGTTTTCCATATGTCAGGGAAAAGAGGTCGAGATTTATGCTTGACAACTAAGGTTTGCATTTGCTCCATGGTAGGTTCATTACCAACTTCTGCTTCATATGGCAGTTTATATTGTGGAACTTCTACCCCTAAATAAATGTACAAATTAAAATTTAGAAACAACTTTAGCTCATAATCTGTAAACATATTTTTCCATCTACAAATCTATTTCAAGAAATAGGAAACAAAGTTTTCATTTTCATATAATTAAATAAGAAATAAAAAATAAAATGTCTTAACGGATCTTGATAATCTATCTTACATATCTTGATATTGAACGAATAAGTCAATATATATTAATTTCCTACAATAAATATTCACTGGAATACAAAATTTAGAGATAGTGAACATGAAAAACTCTTCAGCTTCAGAAATATCTTTTAATATCGCAATAAACTTTCTATTATAAACTAGAGCAATAAAATGCAAATAATGCATACTCTTAAACTAAAACAATAATTAAATGAAATATTCGAAATAAAATACAAAATATTTTAACATTTGATAAAGATCAAAACAGACAGAAGTTATTTTCAACAAAAGTAGTTCCTGACCCATGGGCCGCGAGCATCCAGTACTGAGCTGTGGACACTGTTTGAGTGTCTAAGCCAAGAATGTTGTATATTTATATACAGGGTCAGTAAGCAGATTTTTCAAAAGAAAATAAGCACCGTTCTAAGTACTTTTTAAGCACTTAAAAATATTTTTAATAACTTTCCACAAAAAAAAAAATCGTAATTAGGATCTGTGCAGTAGTAATAATTTTTTTTCCTATTGTTTAAAGTTCTTAATTTATAAACATAAAATCAATAAAATTCAAATAGATTTTCAAAAACTTTGCACAATCATAAAAAAATAACCAGTTTCTAAGAAATATTTCAGAGAAAATTGAGAATATCATGCATTGTTTGTAATTTGGAACAACAATCCACACTGAAAAGAAAAAATCGCTTNATTGATATAGTAGTTAGTGGGTATCAACAATTAAAAAAATTTTTTTTTTAAAACAAAATTGGTGGTCCACATAACTAAAAAGGTTGGGGAGCCACTGTCATACAAAAAATATTTTTAGGGGAAATAATCTAGAGACAAGAGAGTTAATTTTATTTAGAAATAAGAACTTATTATTTCAATTCGAAGCAGAATTTAGAGATAGTGAATATAAACAACTTTTGAATCTCCCAGAACACTTTTTTAATGCAATAATTAAAGATCCAATAACACTACTTTAAAATACAATAAAACCTAGTACCAGTCTGATAGCAAGAGGTATTCTCTAAAACAATAACAAAACAAAATATTAAAATTAAAACTGCAAATGAAATATATACCTTGATAAAGATCACTACACCTAGTAGCGATTTCCCACATAACAAGTCCCAACGCATAAACATCAGTCTGCTTCAATGAGGACTCACAATCTCTCAAATTCACTGCTCCTTCTAATATTTCAGGAGCCATGTACCTCAAAGTTCCCACCTATTAATAAAAAGGCAAAATTATCATATTTCATTAACGATTCCAATTAAAGATAACACTGTGATAAAAATTTTTTTTTTTGGTTCTTGTTTTCTATGGAATCAGACTTTTTAATCAAATTTTGGATATTTTTAAATTGCTGATTTCAAATCTGTAATCAATTTTCCTTCCAGGCTAGTTTTTTTTCTTTAAATTTTTGTTAAAATGTACAAGTTTAAAAATGTTATATGCCAAATGTACAAGTTTAAAACGTTATCAAATTGAGCCAGTTTAAAAATCAAGTGCCGCACAAATGTTGACCCAAAAGATTAAAATTACATAAAACCCAAGTCCAGAAATGTCATCATACACAGCTAGAGGGACTTTTCTTATTATGACCTGCTCAGAAGCACACAAAGAAATAGTTCATAATAGGGAAGCACCCCTAGCTGCATATGACATTTCTGTGTGTTACCATACAATTTTAATTTTAATGACAAGTCCTAACTGCCCTAGAAGTTTCTCACTACATTTACATGATCCTGTTGTATATACAGTAGGGAACCGATTATCCGGGAACGATCGGGACCATCGCTATTCCGGATAACTGATTTTTCCGGTTTTCTGAATCGCTACAAAAAGCCGTTTTTTTATAGTTAAACTCAACTAAAAAAAAAATAAATAAATATTTGGAAATAATCTTAAAAAGAAGAAAAAACGATGAAGTAATATTCCAAAATGATGGTAAGGTAAACATCTTTAAAAAAAGAACGAAAAATCCTGAAATCTTATGAGGAAAAAAATTTTTTTTTTTTAAAAATGTCGGGAAAATGTATTGAATTTCGTTCCGTTTTTTTTTTGTTTTCCGGTTTTCTGATTTCCGGATAACGGGTTCTGCACTGTATAACATTTGTAGGCTTGTACGTTTCAACAAAAAATAGATTAAAAATGTCTTAACTTAAGGATTCACTGATTTCAGATTTGAAATCCTCATATTCTAAATCGGTAAGACCAAATATTTGTATATATGCAACAAAAAATATGTTCCCTAGTGTAATTTATATTTAAGTCGTATGTACTAAGCTTTGTAGAACATTATGGGACTGGACATTAATCAGAACACAGCCAAAAGCTTTTTTTCAGACATCAAAACATACAAACAATTGAATTAGTTAGATGCATTTTTTACATTAAACTGTCTAATAATTTACAATTTTAAGACATTAAGTGTTGGTTTTCAAGCAAGCATAAAAAATATTATTGACCAGAAAGCTCTGAAATATAATAAAAAAAGCATATTTTATGCATAAATTATCTGAGTTATAGAAAATTCAAAAGTAAATTAATATAAAAACATTTTTAAAAAAAGGAACTTAAAAAGGACTTTCTGGCTTAAAATTGCAAAGAAATTAATTACATTCACATAAAATAAAAATAATTAATTAGATTAGTTAGTTAAAACTAAATGAAAAATATTTTTAAAAATTTGTATAGGCTGCTTTTAACACATTTCTGTATCAGTCACCATAAGACTATAAGCCTTCAGAAAGGGGTCGTTCAAATATTATAAAATCACTGAAGCCAAGGGGGCAATATTCTGTTTATTTTGATTTATAAGGTGAAAGGAATGAGTAATGCATAAGGTAAGGTTCTTAATTCCCATATGTGAAATTTTTCTAAATGCAAGAAAGAAAAAAAAAACATAGAAAAAATAGGAAATTAAATTCAAATTTGGGAAAAAAAAATAATTGGAAAAAATTTCTCCTAAAAGTTTTACAATTTTGTTAAATTATTTAAAAATTAACATTTTGCTTACTTATTTTATTTAAATTTAATCTTAAAATTCATAAAATTCCATTACTACATTACATCAAAAGTACAAACATGATGGATTTGATTTTTTTTCTACTTAAGCATGAAAAATGGTTCATACTTGCTTTTTTATTTTTTTGACTGACATGGGGGAGGCAGAGCACAATATTAACAAAAACGGATTTAAACGCTCCTAAAATGTAAATTGTGATTTTTGGAAAAGTTCAAGGTGAAATCCTCTCTTCAGATTAAAAACAAATAGATTTTTTTTTATTATATTAAAAAAAAAAAGTTTATATGAATTATATAAATGATTACGTCAGCTAAGGAGGTCTCTTCAGCTTTTACTTCTACTCCATTATGAATGTAAGTTGAACCAGTGATTTGAATGGCAAATCCAAAATCGCACAACATACAAGTACCATCTGACTTCACCAAAATATTTCTCGATGTGAGATCACGATGCACAATGCAAGGTTTGCGTTTATCTGAAAAGTATTCATAAAACATCAGAAACACAAATAGCAATTTTAAATATGCATGTTTGTAACAAAGTAACATTTAGTCTACATAATGCCATGAGTCACTCTTAAAAAATATTGCACACATAAAAACAATTAGCTAATATAAAAGCAATACAGAAATTGAAATTTAAAAAAAAAACAAGTCCTATTTTTGAAAATGAGTATTTGGTTCTGCTAAAAGAAGCTCAATTATTTAGGGTTCCAAAGCCAAAACAAATTGGGAACCGTTGGCAAAAAGTATACCTTATCCATTTGGATTATTCTAAATGTTTTGAACTAATTTTCAAACGGGAAATAAAATTAATTATGTACAACTTACAGTTTTGAAAATTATGGTAATTATTTGTAATGATATTAATTACTAAATGCACATTTAGTAATTAATATGATTTAAATTTAATATATTAATGACTAAAAGTACAGACAAAAACAAAAGAATCTAACTCCTCAATTTTTATCTAATTTAACAATTTGCACTTATGCAATAAAAAAACTTTTAGGTTATTAAGTTAAATGCTGTTTGTTGGCAAGAAAACTATTGTTTAGAAAAAAATGCTATTAAAAATATTGTAAATTATCTGTGTTTTTGCCACATCGATGTGTAAAGTACGCTTTGCTATTAGAGTTTTCTTAGAAAAAATTTCTAAAATGACAAAGAAAAATTTTTTGTACAATGTAATGAAAATAACTTAGGAAAAAGTTAAAATTGATGTTCACCTTAACAGCCTAATTCATATATTAAATCTGTTTGAAGGTTCTTTGCAATCCTATTTTGGACAGGATTAAATATATGAATGCATTGTTTATTTGTTAAGTGACTTATTTGTTTTAGTATTAATTATAGTATTTAAGTGATTTATTTGAAGTCTATCCTTTTGTTTAAAAAAAATTGCACCAAGAGTCTTCAAAGGGTTAATTGACGGGTTAAACATATAAATGCATTGTTAATTTGTTAAGTGATTTACTTGTTTTAGCATTAATTATAGTATTTAAGTGATTTACTTGAAGCCTAACATTTTGTTTAAAAAATAATTGGAAAAAAGAGTCTTTAAAGGGTTAAACCAAGCTAATATGATACAAAGTACATATTTGAGAACAAAAAGAGCAATATTATCACAAGTACCTCCTTTCTTTATCTCAGAATGTAAGTGAGCTAATCCACAGGCTACAGATTCTATCATTCTGCGCAAATGATTCCAATCTATTGTATTTTCTTTTAAATAATCTTTTAAACAACCATGAGGAGAAAATGATACCACAAGTAAGAATTCTGTCCTACCATCTTCATCCTTCTGCTCTTTGGAACCTTAAATAAGAAAAATATTATTTTAATTTTAAAAATTAACCAACAAACTATTAAGAAATTAATTATCCTATGAAGTGAAAACATATAGTAGAAAATGAATTAACTTCCTTTGCTTCAAAATTTAAATGAAAGAAAGGGCAAGTGAAAACATATAGTAGAAAATGAATTAACTTCCTTTGCTTCAAAATTTAAATGAAAGAAAGGGCAACATTGTTTTAAGTTGTCAAACATGATGTTCCAAGTCAAAATAGCACCCAGTGATTGATGCGTTAGAAATAGCTCTTGTTGGCAACTGTGCCTTTTTTATTTCTAGGCAGCGGTTTACGTTCTTCAAGTGAGGGTTAAAACATGTAGATCTTCCTTCCATTTCAATTAAGAAGCATGAATGAATTTATTTTTTAACTTTTAAGAAACAAATAGTTTAATATAAGTTAATTAACAAACAAAAATTCAAAAATAAATTATAAGAATAGTCCACATAAGATAAGTAAATTTTAAATAATGTTCATTTAAACATATAACAAGTTCAAATGATAAAAGTTTAAAAGAATATCTGTATCTGATCTACAACTTTTTGTTAAGATATTTTTGTTTCCCAAAGAGACTTATTTTGTTTTCATGAAGTTAAGTTGAATGAAACTTGAATAAATAATTTATTGAAGTGTATATCCTGGAGTATAAGTCTATAAATAATTTAGTGTATATCCTGGAGTATAAGTTTATAAATAATTTATTGAAAGTGTATATCCTGGAGTATAAGTCTATAAATAATTTATTGAAGTGTATATCCTGGAGTATAAGTCGATCTCCTACTTCTGATTACAAATTTATGCTAATTTCTGGCATGTTGGGTGCATGAGTCGACACAGATGCCCCTATTGAATCCGACGAAGATGGCATTCTGGAATCTTTAATTTTGTAGATTTATGATATGCTTTAAAAGTTTTTATTGTGTTATATTTTTTGAAATACTGAATAAGTTATCTTAACTTCTCTTATTCTTAATTTTCTGTTTGAAACATAATTTAAATAACTTTTTCTAAAAAAAAAAAAAAAACTTTATATATAAAGAAAATATGAGTGAAACTGTAAAAATAATTGTAAATTACAGATTCTAAATAATTTTGGAAAGGGGTAAATCAATACAGACTTATTCATATCTATCTCATCGCTTACAATGTATTGATGTACACAATCAATGATTTTCAGATTTTTTTAACGGTATATAAGTTGACCCCATGATAAAGAGGATTAAAGACTACTTATACACCAGGATATACAGCAATAACATTTTTATTCATTAAAAAAATTATAACTAAAAGCATTCTATTATCTACTATCTAATCCATTTCTTTATGCCTACTTTTTAGATAAATACGATTAGAAACAGAATTATGTGGGTTAAGAATAGTGCAGAGACAACAATGAAAGTACACATAAGTTAACCCCCCCCCCAATTTATTTCACATGAAAATAAAACAATTTATTCCCTGTTAAAATTATTAGACCTGAAAAATATGGGCAGGCTGTAATATAATGTTAAATACAAATTTCTAATGGAGTTTAATGGTGTTTTAGATAAGAAAAACATATTAATGTAACAATGAGATTTACCTATAAATTTTGGTATTGAGGAATGTTCAATGAATGGAAGAACATAAATGGCTCGTTCGCTCAAAAAGTGCTGTTGGTTTTGATGGGTAAATCTTTTTACAGCAACACTTTGGTCATTCAAGCATGCCCTATACACAGCTCCGTATCTACCTCTGGAACACAATTCTTGAATTTTTAGAGTATCCAGGTCAAAATTGGGTGAAGATGGTGGAGGAGCTTCCATAAGGTGTAAAGATTCATTGCTACGCTTGGGAACTGTACAAGCAAACCGATACCACAAGAAAACAATGAAGGAAAAAAAGCTGGCAAAGACAACTGCTATGATAATAAAGATATACCAGGAATGAGACAGAGGTCCCACATATGTTGGATCTGAAAAATAAGACATTTTCAATTAAATATTAAATATCCAAAATAATATAGCATTTATTAAGGTTGGAAAATAATTTAAACAAGGCAGGAAATTTCAGTGATGCAGCCAGTCTGAAATTTATTTTCAATTCCGGTCACTATTTAAAATTCAGGAACAAAATTAACAATTATTGTAAGGCAATTCCATTAAACAAAGGGCAATATATATATATATAAGGTGTAAAGATTCATTAATATATATATATATATATATACACACACAATTAATAGCATCCCTCCATTTGCAAGTTTTTTAGTTTTTCATTACTTATTTTAGAATTTTACCTATTTTCAAGTATTTTGTAATAATTACCAAAAAAAAAGCGTTTGTTGTAGTTTATAAAACTTATCTTAGCAATTAGATGACCTTATTTTAAATACATCTGTTCATGTTGTTTTTAGACCAGCTGCAGGACTATGTATATAATCAGAAAACCCAAAACAAGGGGTCCTTGTTTCCAATCTTCCCTCTCAAGTCCCAGGCAGGAGAATAGATGATCGGGTTTGGAATACTAGGTATAGCATTTTCCACAGATTGGGAAGATCTTTTTAACTAGGTAAAATCTTAGACACTTTAAGTGCCCACTTGAGAGTCTTCATAGGGCAGTCTAAAGGGCGTGGCCATCCTTAAAATTCAAAGTCCCTCCGGGTTACCAGTCATGTGCAGAAAGAGACTACAATGACGTTGCAACAGCTAATTCTTGAACAAATATCCAGAAAGGTTAGCATACCAGAAGTTGAAATTATTCCAGTTCCTTTCTTGGCTAAGGCCTCAGCAGCCTCATTTCCCAGAACACCAATCTGTTTATCATTTATACACATAAATTTTCAGAATTATGAGTTTCATAAGAAATAAAATTTACCATGTTCTGCAGGAGAATCAGAAGAATTGTTATTATCTGTAAAGTTAGAGTTGCAGAAGTTACCATCACAACAACAAAATCTAGTTTTAGGCTGTGCTCTATTAGACTTGCTATCAGGAATGCATTCATTTTGATGACATTTCTGGTTTCCGTCATTCCAACAACCTGTAAATAAATCAATTTAAGAATGCTTTCAATGTTGTTACATACTTACAAGAGTAATTATACTAACAAATTTCTGATGAAACAGAGAAGAATGTGCTAAATACCAAGAAGCAAATGCATAGATAATTTGTCAACAAGAAAAAGAAAAATCATAGCAGAGCATCATAAAATATCCAATATGCATGCCAATAGAGAAAGGGAAAATAATTTTAAATATAAATTAAAAACAATTTTGACACAAAATATTAATCAAGGTTGCCACTCAAATCTGGGAAAAAAATTACCCGTGTTTTCCCTGTACATATTATACACAATATATTAAGGGGAAAAAGCAATTACTGTGCTCTTGTGTGAGCTATACTGGGCTAAGTATATTTATTAGTTATAATTGCTGAGTAAATAGCTGAGCATACTTAAATAATGTTATAGTGTATGAAATAGTTTAGTAAAACTGAAATAATATGGTTAAATATCCCATAGATTACGCTTTGAGGGGTCACCATTTTTTAAAAGATCGAAATAAGAAACAAAATTTCCCTGTTTTTTTCCAGTTTGTAGGGAAAAAATCAAAATTCCCTGCATTTTCCCTGTTATTTTATGTGATTTTTAAATTCCCTGTATTTTCCAGGTTTTCCATGTTCTCCCTGTGGAGTGGCAACCCTGTTATGGCATCCTCATAGCAAATAAGCACTTTAAATTGCAATAAGTTTCAGCGAAGTTAGAAGTTCAAAAAAGAAAGGGGGAAAAAAAGGTTGAATTTATAAAGAAAATGGACTTTTCAGCACATTAAATTTCAGTTCGGCAGTTGTAATCCTGGGTATTGCAGAAAATTAGTATTTTTTACACCTCTATGTAATTTTAATTTTCTAAGTCATATAGTTCAAAAATTTACTAACTATCAATGAAATACTTCAACACTTAAATAAACTTAAAAAGTTAATTAATAAAAATGGAGCTTTTTATAGGAAAAAGAGTTTTTAATAAATAAAAAAAGTGAGTTTGATTATAACAAAGATGTAGTAATCAACAAAAATAGTTACCTTGACTGACAATTTTAATGGTTTTGTTCCGAGAATCTTCTTGCCAAAGTATGTAACAGGAATCAGTGGGTTTAGCACAACGAACAGTACTGTTATCATCTAAAAGGCTGCCAACTGTCACATTTATCTGTTTTATCATGGGAGTTTTGAGGTAGTGACATAAAGGGTGTGTTTCATCATGAGATTCTGAAATAAAATACAACGAATTATATATTTTTAATTAGTTAAAGTAATATATATAGTTACATGCCTAGAACTATAAAAAAAAATATTAATACGTATTTATGTTAGTTTAAGAACTAATTGCTTCTAAGGTCATTTACCTCTTGACCAAACTCAATCAATGTGGTAATGGGGAAAATTTTTTATTAATTGTCTTTATTTAATTTTTAAACATAAATTGCCTTACATTTGCTTTAGTAGGCAATATCTTTTGAAACATGGAAATTATAAGGTTGTATGATAGTTATTAGAATAAGATTATAGTATTAGTTAAAACATTAGCATTAGGCTATTATTAGAATGGGAGAAATATAACTGGCGTTATTCTAGAATTTAAATGGATTTTTTTTAAAAAACAAAATTGCGTTATTAGAATTCAGCCTTGCTTGATAGGTAGTCTGGTATCTAGAGTTTAGACAGTTTCTTTCTAAAGTTTTGACAAGACAATTTCTTTTTAAAGTTTTGAGTTTTTTTAATATTTTATTTACACATTTAGTGTTAAGAAAAACTGTAAGCACCATAAAAATAATTTGAAATTGAATTTTAAAAACCTAACAGACAAACGAACATTCTCTATCTAATGCCACTATCAGCGGAATTTTGTTGCTATACATGTTTGAGAATTTTTTTTTTAGAAGGTCTAAAAATTATCAAATGCCATGTCTACCAAACTAACAATGCAAAACTTTTATTTTCTACCCTATTTTCAAAAAGGGTTCGCTGCCAATTCAATTGACATTCTAAAATCAAAAGTGAATTTTAAAAAAATCAAGAAAGCAAAATTAAAAATTTATAACAAAATCCAAGATGGCTAGGAAAGAGGCCTCATAAGAGCTTAATACATGTGAATGAGAAGTTTTTTTTTTTATAGTATGTTAAAGACGTGCGTTATTTTAAAAAGATAAATAACTAATAAGGCATGTTTATAATCGACAACAAACACATTAAAATAAAAATTATGGTTTTTATGATTTCGGACAAAATAACCGAATTTTCAATTTACAATATTTTTTTAAAAAATTTATTTGAGAGCTCTCTTTTTCTCGAATAATTTTGAAGTAGATTAATCTTTACATTGTGGAATTATCACTTTAGTTAGACTGGAAAGGAAATAAATAATTTTGTTGCTACTACTAATTCACAAGTTTTTTTTTCTGGCATGTTTTAGCCTCATAACCACATTAAAGACATACTATAATTTATAAACAAGATGGTCAAAATAAATAAATTTATAAAAATATACCGTGAAATCAAAGGATTCAGAACAATTTGCATTTCTCATAATTTAACTTTTAAAATTATTAGTTTCAGAATATAAGGGAATGATGACATAGAAAATTATAAAAAATATTCAAAGTTTGTTTTCATTATTACAATGTCATCTTTAAAGCAGCTTTAGAACTATTGAGAAACTACTGCAACTATTATTACTAACTAGAGCTTTCAGCAGATCCAGATCCTATGTTTGTTTACCTCTAAATTTGAAACACAATTGTGTCATAAAAGGGTTTTATTATTCTGATACATTTTTAACGCATTTTAATTTTTATGGAAAAAAAAATTAATATTTAACCTTCAAAATTATATGCAATGTGTAATTTAGGTTTTCAACACGGTTTTTGATGTGACAGTTTGAACAGACAAAAAGAGGTGCATGTCAAAAACTTGCCAAACCTGATACACATTTAAAAAAAAAAGTGTTCATTGTAGGCTTAAAAAATATATCCCAATTTAAAATATTTTTATCCTATTATAGTTATGAATGACACATTAAACTAAAATAAATTACAAACCAACTCCCTTCATATCCGTTAATTTTCTTCTTCTGTTGTTTGCCCAAAAGTCTAAAATATTAGTTGAAGTATAAATTAAATCTAAGTTCCTTCCAGCACAGATAAAATTTAAGTTTTTTTTGTTCTTTTTGTTTTAGTTACTTTAAATGTGATGACGAAGTTGGCAGCGTCTCCACTAAGCAAGAAAGAAGCAGCAATTTGTTATAATTTTAAAAATTAAGTCATTTAGTGACTTATTTACCACATTATTAGTAATCAGAAACCACATTAATCATCAAGATATATACTTATAAAATCCAAAATTAATTTCACACATATTTATGACATAGGACTTGGTAATAGAGTTAGAAAAGAAATGAAAAGACACAACTGTTTGTTTTCATAATTAATTATCTAAACTAGGCTTAACTTATTACAATGAAGGTTACTCATATGGACGGAGTCTCCAATGAAATCATGAATGAATGAAAATAATCCCAACAGCCCACTCGAACTTCCTGCGTGTGTAAGTTAAGTAACTGAAGTGTGCATTCATTTAACTTCCGAGATAAAAAATTTCATTCTAAAAAAGCGCGGGAAGTGGAGTCAAAGGAAAAAATATTGCGGATACAGAATGGAGACAAGATGACTAGAAATACGAAATTGCATGAATGAAAATTCCTTCGTCATTTTGCGAGGGGCAATAAATATAACTTCCTTCCTCGCCGTATCGTAAGATAAAACGCCTACAACATATGACTGAGAATTACAATTATAGTAATTTATAGATTTGTTTGCAAAATACGTATCTGTATTATGTTACAAATTGTAATGAAGTAATAAAAAAAATTCTTGTGATGCTGAGTTTAGTAGTTAGGCAAGTCTATGCAGGACAGACAGTAAGACCGAACCGAGAATGATTATTGATACAATAATTCGATAAAAGAATTCATAAAGTATTTTCAAATTTCCTGAGCTCGATGTTTACTTGTTATTTTTAAGGTTTTGTTGCAGAATTGAAATCTGTATAAGGTTACAAATTGTAAATTTGATATAAAACTATCTTGCAATGCTGAGTTCAGTAGTTAAGCGAGTGCGTGTAGGACGGTAGGACCAAACACAAAACGATTAATACAATAATTCACTATAAGTATTAACAAAGAAATCCCAACTTTTTGAGCTCGATGTTTTACTTCCTCATTTTCATAATTACAGGCCCAGTAATTTAAAGGCTTCTTTGCAAAATACAAATTTGTAGTATGCCAATAATTGTAAATAATACTTAAGCAATGCCGAGCTCTGTAGTTAAAAGTATGTTGTAAGTGTATGCAGAGCAGAACCCATAACGATTTATACTAGAAACTAAGGTAAACAACGTTAAAGAGCACAAAAATATTTGTGCTCTTTAACGTTGTTTGCCTTAGTTTGTATTTTAGCACAAGGTCGCCCACTTGTGTATTTATGATTTATACTAGAGTTAATTCACTAGGAGTGTTGAAATGACAATTTGAAGCTAGGTACTAACTGTTTAATTTTTATAACTTTCTTGATCTTCATAATTTTACAATAGGAATATTTTAGTTTATCCAATTATAGTCATTGGAGAAATAAGATAATTTTTGTCGAGTGGGCTATGGCCTCTTAGTTATATTTAGTAAATACATAAAGATTTAGTTCTTTCAGTTATTTTAATTTTATTATTGATATTTTTCTTATTTATATAATACTGTAGAAACCGCTGACTTTGGTCGTTGTTTGACAAAAAAATAAGATCCTATGGATATATGGCACAATTTTTCTTTCTTTCTTTTTTTTTTTTTAAGTCTTCATGCTCAGACTGGGCTTTATTAAGGAAAACGTATAAGATTCATCAATGGTGAACCCCAAATCAATCGTAGAAAATAGTCATTTAAGTGTCGTTCTGGTACGACGTTAACAACCAAATAAAACAAAAAGTGATCCCTAGTTTATCTCCGACATAATCCTGTCATAATACTGCTCAAGATGTTAAATAGGAAATTTAATTGAATTACCAACTATGATTTAAAACACTGTGTTATGATATATTCCTTATTTTCAACAAGTCACCAAGGGCACCACCACTAACAAAACGCAACAATATTTCGAGAATAAATAATCTCGTTTAAAAATAGTCATAATTACTCTTCAGTTTATCAGAACATTTACACTTCTGCTTTATATCTGGCACATCACAGTGCATTTGGAAGGTCGCCGCAGTTTGTCGCCTCGAATGAATAATGCTCTCTCTAAACGAAAGACACAACAGAGGTCGAAACAGAAAGATACACACACGAAGGAAGTTTTTCCTATAGAATAAATAGTGAAACACAGAAAAGACGAAATTAGTAAAAAAAAAAAATAAAATTANCAAATAAAAAAAAAAAAAAAAAAATTATAGAAAGATACACACACGAAGGAAATTTTTCCTATAGAATAAATAAATAGTGAAACACAGAAAAGACGAAATTAGTAAAAAAAAAAAATCTTCTGAGAAACGAAGCTGCGAATTGTGTCTCACGCTTCAGCACTAAGAGAATAGTTTACCACTTTCTTTACCAATTTTTTTTTGTGTGGAAAAAAACGAGAAAAAAAAATTAAAATATTTTTTTATTTCAATAATATATACAAGGAACTAAAACAAAACATGATACGCGATTTTTAAGTTGCAATTTTAATTTTTTTTTTTATAAGTAAAAAACATTTAATTTACCATCAGTTTACTATCTCGAGTTACGCCGGGTAAAAGAAAAAAGTTAAATATTAGTCTTTGTATGATAGTTTTTAAAAAAAGGGACAACACAAAGTAATACTTTCCAAACGCCAGTGAAGGAATACGCCATTTTCTTTCGTCTCTCATGTAAATTCAGCATCCATCCTATACACCCGTGTTCCCCAATCCCCGGATCAAATAGTACAGGGCCGCCCATTTCATTGAAACTAAATTTAAATTCCTAGGTTTATACCCCAAATTATATCTGTGCTCCATTAAAATTTTATTTACTGAAAAAAAGGGGCCCTCGAAGGTAGTGACATAAATTTTTTTAATGCTTGTAATGTGTCATTGTCTCCGATTACCCCCAGATGGAACCGTCTCATTGCAAAGAAATAAGCTCAGGGTTCTCATTGATTTAACGTTCTAGTACAGGGATGGCGAACCAATGGCACGCGACA